GGCCTATTATGCTAATGAGTTTTTGCTGGGCTTTTTCTACAAAAAAAGCCCTGCACGCCCCCATCCCCTGCTGGTGGCCAGCGGGGACCTAGCAGCCCTCCATCCCACTCCACCTACTTCCGGGGAACTTCACCAGCGCTGCTCCTACAACTCCCATCGGTGCTGTTCTATTAATGAGGAGCAGACCAGGATGTTGAAACCAGCTGAGCCAGGTGGCCCCTCAGTGCTGGCAGCAATGCAAGCATCCAATACAAGCTACGGGCTCAGTGGGCCCTCCAGCAGGGCCGATAACCTTCGGGTGGCACCTGGACATTTCCCGCTATTACAACTCTTCTCTGGGCAACCAAGATCAGTCCCCCTGGAGAAAAGGGCTACTCTGGAAGGCGGACTCTATGGCATTATATCCCGCTGAGGTCCCTCCCCTCCCCAAACCCCGCCCTTCCCAGGCTCCGCCCCCAACATCTCCAAGTATTTCCCAACCCTTCTCTCCCGTGTCCCTCTGGGGCAACTGCCCACCAGGAATTTCCCCAGCATGTTCAAGGGTGAGTCCACCCACAGTCAGTGTTCCCTCTAAACTGAGTTAGTCTGAGCTGGCTCACAGTTTTTTAGCCTCCGGCTCACACATTTTTTTCTTCGCTCAGGAAGGAGGGCTGCAGCGCAAACTAATACATGCAGCAGCCAAATCGCTCGCTCACAACTTTAATGCCAGTCGCTCACAAAGCAGAATTTTCGCTCACATGACTCCACAGCCTAGAGGGAGCAGCCGTGCTAGGGACATTTCTCCAGGGGTCGTTTCGTAGAAAAAGAGCTAGGGGAACTCATTAGCATAACTCATTAGCATATGCCACACCCCGACATCACCGGAAGTGTGTCATAAGGCCACACCCCCTGACATCACCGGAAGTGTGTCATAAGGCCACACACCCCACCCCCAACGGTCCCGGCCGCCGCCGCCGGCCTTGCAGCTCCACTGCCGAGCCCCATGAGGGGCCCGGCGGTGGACCTGCAAGGCCGGTGGGAGTGCAAGGAAGCCCCGCAAAGGCCCTCCCTGGCCCCAGGCAGGCAGGGGTGGGGAGAGGCAGGGAGGAAGCAACTTACCCTCCCTCTTCTCCTGCCTCCTCCTGGCTGAATGAGGGCTGGAAGCAGGGCGGCCAGAAGCAGGGGGCGGGGCTTCGTCATGTGCCCCGCCCCCGTACCTCACCCGGGGGAACTGCGATCCCCCGCGATCCCCCCTGAAATGACCTCTGCATTTCTCAAAAAGAAATTGCTTAGCAAGCTCCCGTTGAGTTCTGTGATGTAGAGGCCATCACATCCATTGAAGCTGGGAAGCAAAAGCTACATGACCGATCACCGGTCCAGATCGCATATCTGTGCTAAGACAAGTCTGTCACCTGAAAGGACCTTTAGCCACACTTAGTCCAAAGTCCAACGGGTTTGGGTCTGAATGGGTTGTGATGCCAGGAGTCTAGGGACAGCCCTCTAATCTGATGCAGGTTGGGGTTAAGAAGAAGAAGAAGGGAAGAGACTGGATTTATACCCCACCCTTCACTACCCAAAGGAGCCTCAGGGCGGCTTACAATCTCCTTTCCCTTCCCCTCCCCACAACAGCCCCCCTGGGAGGTAGAAGAAGAAGAAGAGATTGGATTTATACCCCACCCTTCACTACCCAAAGGAGCCTCAGGGCGGCTTACAATCTCCTTTCCCTTCCCCTCCCCACAACAGACACCCTGTGAGGGAGGCGGGGCTGAGAGAGCTCTTTCGAGGACTGCCCTTGAGAGAACAGCTCCGAGAGAACTTGTGACTGACCCAAGGTCACAACCAGCAGCTGCATAGGGAGGAGGGGGAAATCAAACCCGGTTCTCTCAGATTAGAGTCCGCACGCCACTACACCAAACTGGCTCACGAAGAGAATCGACCGCCTAGGGAGGCAGCTACGCACCAGAGCAAGATCCAAGGCCCATCTCAAGCAGCACCTGCAGCTGGGGTCGGGTGGTGTGGTGCTGAGGTCTGAGGAGCAAGACGTACCGGAGCTTCTTCGTGAGCTCTGGCTGGAGGCCGTGCTTCTCTATCTGGGTCTCAATCACCTTCTCTGGAAGACAAACCAAAACCACGTTGAGACCACCCAAAACAAGGAGGTTTTCATTTGCGGTGTGGTTCCTCTAGAAGTCATTGAAGAATGTTGAAATCAGGCGCCACCATGTTTCTAAGCAGGAGTTGCTACTGCAAAAGGCAAACATTGGGCTTACACAGGATTGGGAGCATCCAGAGACAGGAGACCACACAAGCCTTCAAGCTCCACTTGGGCTGCGTTCAGACTGGCAGTCTGGCCCGAGGTAGGCAGTGTTCACAAATGGATTAAATGGGCCTGGTCACGCAGCCACAGCTGTCAGCCGTTCCCCAGTCATACGTACCCTGTCGTACGAGTTGGAACTGGAGTAAACAGCCACCACATAACGTGGTGCTTTTGGCTCCTTCAAGCATTCATTGCGCGTGGCTGGATGTCTGAACATGGGAGAGCGCAAACAGAACAGATTGGTGGTCTGATCCTGCAGATCCATTCCCGCTGCTAGGGTGTTTTTTCTGGAATTTAGCATATGTGCATGTGCGTATGAGCATATGAGTGCACATGAACACCTATGCACATGCATGGGTACATATGCACGCACATGCATTTAAAAAATGACCGGGCAGCGTGCTCCATGGCTGAGGCGCTGCAGTAATGTGGATGCTTGATCACGGGACGTCCTCGTGGGTAACTCGCAGCAGGGTATGCTGTGTCCGTGACCTGACCCGCGACACTTTAAACTGGTATGGTTAGAGGCATTGCCATATTGCACCAAGCTGCCAATCTGACCACAGCCTCAGTTTGGTTATTGGAAACTGGGCTCCCCACTTTGTCATTAACAGTTTAAATTGCTAGTAACAGAGTGGGTGAGCTGATTTCAAATAGTGGAACCAAACTGAAATTGAAAGTCTAAGCAACTGAAAGTCTGAGAAATCGAAAGTCTAACTCCCGTTTCTGTGCTGTTCTGAGATAAGTTGAGGCTGAACAAACATATATGACTTTTGTCATGTCTGTTCAGTTTAATACATGTGTACAGTGGGATTACCTGCATAAGAACATAAGAGAAGCCAATGTTGGATCAGGCCAATGGCCCATCCAGTCCAACACTCTGTCACACAGTGGCCAAAAATATCAGATGCCATAAGGAGGTCCAGCCAGTGGGACCAGGACACTAGAAGCCCTCCCACTGTTACCCCCCCCCAAGCACCAAGAATATAGCGCATCACTTGCCCTAGACCGAGAGTTCCTATCTATACCTCGTGGCTAACAGCCACTGATGGACCTCTGCTCTATATATTTATCTAATTTCCTCTTGAAGCCGTCCGTGCTTGTAGCCGCCACCACCTCCTGTGGTAGTGAATTCCATGTGTTAATCACTCTTTGGGTGAAGAAGTACTTCCTTTTATCCGTTCTAACCTGACCACTCAGAAATTTCATTGAGTGCTCACGAGTTCTTGTGTTGTGAGAAAGGGAGAAAAGTACCTCTTTCTCTACCTGCTCTATCCCATGCATGATCTTATAAACCTCAATCATGTCACCCCTCAGCTGTTGTTTCTCCAAGCTAAAGATCTAAAAATCTAAAAGACCTAAAATGTTAAAACAGAAATCATGAATAAAACTATAATTCATTTAAATCATAATTACCGGGTGCATACGAAATTCTGTTACAGTTGGGTGAAGCCAGATTTTTGTCGCTTTACAGCTAAAACGATCATTAAAAATTTAGTAACAGAATAAGTGGTTTCAGGATTAGTATCTGCCAACAGATAGGGGACCACCCAGAGTTCAGTAGGTAATTGGCGTTTGGTAAGAACTGGAGTGATCCAAATCGATCTAGGAGTCGACCACTGATGACATAATAATAGAAGATGGCCGAGTGTTTCCACAGCTCCTGTCTCACAGTTACATAAGCGATCTGAGTAGGGGACTTTAGGAAAGCGACCCGTTAACTCAGCAGTGGGAAAAGAGTTAAGCCTAGCAAGAGTGAAAACACGTCTATAACTAGGTATTTTTAGGGATCTAGTATATATATCTAGTATATATACTTTAGGCACCCAATGAGAAGGGAGCACTCACTGGAGAAGACCCTGATGCTGGGAAAGACTGAAGGTCAAAGAAGACAGGGACGGCAAAGGATGAGATTGTTAGACAGTGCCATAGATGCAACGAACATGAAGTTGAGCCAATTTCAGAGGACAGCGGAAGACAGGAGGGCCTGGCGTGATCTGGTCCGTGGGGTCACGAAGAGTCGGACTCGACTGTGCGACTGAATTGTTTCCTTCCCACAGAAGCCAGTGACTGTGCGACTAAACAACAACAACAAATATGGAGGAAGACATCACATCTAGTTTGGCCCTGAGATGTGCACACGGATGGATCTCTTGCACAGGCAGCTTGCCCAGCGCTGCCTTCCATTGCCAAGAAGCGGCCCTCGAACCCAGGCCCTTTATCTTTCCCCACTGCAGTGGACTGTAGGAGGGGCTCTTCGTTCTCAAAAGGGGAGCAGCTGTGTCGATTTCTACATCCTCTGTCCAGGCTCCGGGTGACAGTGGGGCACAGCTGGAGGATTTGCCACAGCTGTCTTGTCCCTCCACCCCGTCCACAGAAGCCCAGGGCTGCTTCCCCAGAACTAACAGCGCCATGGCACAGGCTACATGAGCGTACGTGCCTGGCTATTAAGTGTCACCGTTTTGCTTCAGGAGCTGCTAGTAACCCGACACTCAGTCACAGAAGGACATGTCCCTAGGAAGGCAGGACAGCCGATGGCCACATACCAACTATCTGCTTAAAACTGCGGGCTTCCAAGTCTAGGAGGACAGCGCCTCTCCTCATGCACGTCCGTAGCTCAAGCAAGCTGTGCAGGGATAGAGTGGTCACGTGAGGTTTGCTCCAGCGTTCGCCTCCGTCTTCCACTTTCTCTTCAAATTTAATCCATCTGCAACAAAAGAGCTGAGTTAGTCCCATGACCACGGCTCTCGGCATGCTGGGCGATAAGCCTTTTCTCTCATGCCATCAGGGGTCATTTCGTAGGAAAAGAGGTGCAGGAGCTCATTAGCATAACTCATTAGCATAACTCATTTACATAGGCCACACCCCCTGACGTCACCGGAAATGTTTCAGAAGGCAACACCCACCGGCTCAGGCGCCACTGGACTGTTTTGGATTGCTAGGTACGGGGGGACACATGCGGATCTGTCCTCGCAGAGGAGGGAGAGCTTGTACCTGAATAAAACTTGGTCTTAAAGGTGCCACTGGACTGTTTTGGGCCGTGGAGCCGTGGGGGCTCTGCAATTTACCTGGCTGCTTCTTGCTCTGACTGAGGGCTGCTGGGAGCAGGGGGTGGGGCTTGTTGCATGTGCCCACCCCCTGGGCTCTTTACTGCCGGAGCTCCACTCCTGTGCACTCCTGCAGGAAATGACCCCTGCATGTCATGAACAGCCACCTACTTCAAACCCGTTTCCTTTTCCAGGTGCAAACATTTCTGGCCCTTCGGAAGCTTAAACGTGACTTGAATGATCCCTACAGCCTAATAAACATATCCAGACAGAAGAAGAGGAGGAGGAGGAGGAGGAGGAGGAGAAGATTGGAGTCTCAGAGTGGCTTACAAACTCTTTTCCCTTCTCCTCCCTACAACAGACACCCTGTGAGGAAGCTGGGGCTGAGAGAGCTCTCTTGAGCACTGCTCTTTCAAGGACAGCTCTGACACAACTATGCCTTGGCCCAAGGTCATCCAGCAGCTGTGAGCGGAGGAGTGGGGAGTCAAACCCGGTTCTCCCAGATTAGAGCCTGTGCACTTAACCACGACACCAACCTGGCTGAGTGCGTTCAGCTCTCTTTTTTCCCCTCGTTCGTTCCCTACCTCCATCATTCTCAAAGTTTAGATGTTCACTTCTTGGGACCAGAACCCATATTTGTTAGTGGTTGTAGATTTTCCGGGCTGTGTGGCTGTAGTCTTGGCATTGTGGTAGCTGTCATTTCGCCAGCAACTCTAACTGGCATCCTCAGAGGTATAACACGGAAAGATGGAGTACTCTCTGTATCAATGTATTAGGTACATTGGTACTACAATGCCAAGACCACGGCCATACGGCCCGGAGAATCTACAACAACGAATGAACTTCGGCCGCGAAAGCCTTCGACAACCCATATTGCTGCTTCTCTTACTTTATAACGCCTCGCCTCGTTGCCAAGAGCAGAGAGGCTGTTTTATTTGCCAGGGAAGTCCCTGCATGGCCACTAGTGGGCAGGAGCAAGCTGTGTGCCACCCTGTACCGCTTGGCTCCCCCCCAGGCTGTGGTAAGGACAACAATGGGTGTAGCTAGGCTTGACCATCAGGTGATCTGGCCGCTGGCTGGCTTGGATCTGCCTGACAGCAGCAAGGACCCGAGCGGGGTGCCGGCCAGCTCCCATGGGGTATCCATTGGGTGGCCCCAAGCAGTCATTGGGGTGGCTCGGATGGAGAACCAGCCTTGAGTTCAAGCCGCTTGTTCTCTTTGACATCACTGTGGACAGGGGTCGTTTCGTAGAAAAAGAGCTAGGGGAACTCATTAGCATAACTCATTAGCATATGCCACACCCCCTGACATCAGGGGCCCGGCGGTGGACCTGCAAGGCCGGCGGGAGTGCGAGGAAGCCCCGCCAAGGCCCTCCCTGGCCCCAGGCAGGCAGGGGTGGGGAGAGGCAGGGAGGAAGCAACTTACCCTCCCTCTTCTCCTGCCTCCTCCTGGCTGAATGAGGGCCGGAAGCGGGGCGGCTGGAAGCGGGGGCGGGGCTTCGTCATGTGCCCCACCCCTGTACCTCACCCAGGGGAACTGCGACCCCCCGCGATCCCCCCCGAAATGACCTCTGACTGTGGACATCTGAGATCCTGGGGCAGAATCTCACACTGTTGTCCCTTTTTCAAAAAATGACAGATGCATGCATTTTCTGCAAAGATCAGGGAAGTGGGAGGAGTCCATTTTACTCTTCCTTTCTACCTAATACTCCCCCCTACACTAGTTGGTGTTGGACTGTATCCCACCACTTAGCTCAGCAAAGTCAGCAGTCAGCACCCAATGCAAACAAGCCAGCTTCTCCCACAGAAATAGACACAGTCTGTGCCCATTTCACAGTCAGAAACACAGATTGTGCTGGCTGTGGGGGAGTTGGGGGAATACCTCAGTGGCAATCCTCCTTAAAAGTCCCGCTGTCTCCTCCAGGGCTCTGAACCAACCCTTGTGATTTAGGCTTCATGCAAATCCAAGTGATTGACAGGAATCACAGCCCAAGGAATGGGGGAGGGATAAGCCAGCTTCAGCTTTAAGGAGGGTGAAGAAACTTTTTAAAAAATAATAATGCTGGGACAGGAATTTTGTGGCTCTGGAAAGGAGCGTCAAGCTTAGCCAGGCTTTTATGGGAGGTTTTAGTTAGGGTTTGGAGGTCGGCTTAGGGAAGAAAGTTTATTTTAGTGGTACAAATAAGCAGGGGTCATTTCCTGCAGGAGCGCACAGGAGCGGAGCTCCGGCAGTAAAGAGCCCAGGGGGTGGGCACATGCAACAAGCCCCACCCCCTGCTCTTAGCAGCCCCAGGCCACGAGGAGCAAGAAGCCCCTCCCTTCCTCCCTCCCTCCCTTCCTTCTTTCACTTTCCCTCGTATTTTCCTTCTCTCCCTTTCTTTCCCTCTTTTTTCCCTCCTTCTTTCCTTCTATTTCCTTCCTTCTTCTTTTTCTTTCCCTCCTTTCCTTCCTCCTTTTTTCCCTCCCTCCCTCCCTGCACAGATCTGCGCGTCCCCCCCCCCCAGGTAGCAATCCAAAACAGTCCAGGGGCACCTTTAAGGCCAAGGTTTATTCAGGTACAAGCTCTCCCTCCTCTGCGAGGACAGATCTGCACATCCCCCCCCCCATAGCTAGCAATCCAAAATAGTCCAGTGGAGCCTGGGCGGTGGGTGTTGCCTTCTGACACACTTCCAGTGATGTCAGAGGGTGTGGCATATGCAAATATGTTATGCTAATGAGCTCCTGCACCTCTTTTTCTACAAAATGACCTCTGCAAATAAGCATCCTGTTGAGGCCCTTCATTCCTGACTGGTGTGCGCAGGTTCTGCGGAAAGGTGCCCTGTGAAAGAGAAGAGCGGCCTTGAACCTGCTGAGGGGGAAAAGTGGAATCAAATCTCCCCCCAGGGTTTATTTCCTTCATTTGAGAGCCAGCTTTACAGTTATCCACACATCACATTGACCTTATTCAATCCTTTATTTCCTGTGAGAGAAACCTTTGTTGTTCATCTCCCTCTGTGTCTTGTCTGTCAGGTCAAAAATCTGTCGTCCAGCCTCTGCTTACCTCACATATAAGCTCAGCTTTAGTCTAGCAGGTTTGCAAACCAGAGACCTTTAAGGAGCACATCGCTGACACGCTGCCCATCTTTATTTTAAAGCCTTTCTATTTGATTGTGGGCAGTTGGGGGACAGAGATTCTATAAGAGAGGCCGGAGTGGGAGACTGGAGTTTCAGGCAGTGGTCTCAGAGCCCCCCCCCCACCACCCATAGCTGTCACAACCTCCTGCAGCCAAATGGGTATGGAGGGCCAGGCCGTGATTTGCCTCTGGGCCAAGACAGAAAATATGAGAGAGAAGTCAGCACCCAATGGAAGGGAGCCAGCATCGTCCACAGAAATAGGCCAAAGGAACCCAGTGGCCTTTTCTCTCCAGGCAGGATCATGCTCGGGTTCAAAGCAGGCTTGGCAA